AATGTAGAACGGGCTTAAACTTTTTATAGTCCGTTCAATAAGAGAAGAGAAGCCTCATGCTTATAGTAGAAAAAAAGCAGACAAAGAAAAGATAGCGATGATCGTTTCCTTATCCGCATCACCCGCTGACACACTTTACGAGCAGTAAAGTGGAAAGCTTACTGGTAGGAGATACGCGCGAAACAAAAAAGTTTTTGTCCGTTTAGATTCTCATCTCTCATTGAACAGACTATCACAGTAAAGTGATTTGGCTTTCTTAAGGTGCTCGCAAAAAGAACGCGGTAACCAATAAGCAGTTTTGCTTTTATGAAAAATATGCTGCTTTTTCATGAAAGAATAAAATGGTGATTGGCTACCACATTGCGCGGAAAGGCCATTGTACATAAACCACAGTCCAACTNCTTTGTGCGCATACAAATATTTTCATATTACCTATGTATCACTGTTGATGTTTCTTTATTTTTATATTGTGAATATAATCCACGTTTTAAATTATAAAAAATTGGAACACTTTATTTGGTTAATAAATTAAATATAATGCGTCTTTGACTACACAAATGTTTTTATTACATTCCTATTGTTACAAACACATGTCTTTTGTAGATTTGTTAGTCAATATTATATGCAATTCGACTATCTGATTTAATTATATACAACTCAGAAGTCATAAATAACCTTAAAAATATATGTAACAAGATTATTTCTAATACCTACAACAATACAAAATCATCATTTATATAGTATTTGCAAATCAACACTTATTTATAATCAACAATTTTTTATCCAGACAATATACATATTTTTTACCGAATGCAATGTTATTTTTGGGTGTAATAGTTCTACAAAAACTGAGATTAACTTAACATAATACACAATTACGTTTATTCTTTCTTTATTTATTCAAAATATGCAATCAAAAAAATTGCGAGAAAACAAAGTAAACCAAAAATACCTACAACATTTGCTGACCATAAAAAATAACTAAAATCGACACTTGACATTTATTATAACTAAATGTACATATATGATTAAATCTACATACAACAAAATATTATATGAAAGATTTTAAAAGACTTTTCTAGGTAAGAAATATTTTATTTTAACACAACGAAACAAAACGTAATAATCTTATTCTTAATACTCAACGCATTGTGCGTTATTCCTTCTCGTTTTGCTGTTTTATTACAAGTAATTAGCAATTTCTATTCCCCTAATATTTAATCATTATCCTTACGCCTGATATTATCTCTATTGTGCTCAATAGCATCGTGAACAAAATTATNGTATGAGCAATAACAACGTGGACAAGAACTAACTCGTGGGCAATCGCAACGTGGGCAATCGCAACGTGGACAATCGCAACGTGGGCAATCGCAACGTGGACAATCGCAACGTGGGCAAAAGCAACTCGTGAGCAATTGCAACGTGGGCAAAAGCAACTCGTGGCCAATCGCAACGTGGTCAATCGCAACGTGGGCAATCGCAACGTGGGCAATAGTGACTGTGGACAATCGCAACGTGGGCAAACGGGACGCTCCCAAAAAAATCAATCTTTTATATAATTTTGTTTTTAATAAAAATTTAATAACATTAAAATATTACTTTTTACAAATGTGTACGCAATATTAGTTATCTTAATCTACTATTACTACTAAAATTTACTAAAACTGTTATATTTAATAAATAATTTTATTTTTATTTGTGGTATATTCTTAAAATAACTTACATTTTATAGTTTTCTTTTATTATATGTACAAAGCGCTTGCTTCTATTATTTTCTGTTTGTTACGAACAGGAAACATATACATATACATACATATATACACAATTGTAACTATTATTAATACGTTTAAAATATGCAAATTATTTACAGGAGAATGCGCGGAAAGAAAAAAGACTTATTTTAACTAGCGTACGGAACGGAGCGTCGTTTGTCGATAAATTTACGCTTCAGCAAAATCGGCGAGCAGGTTTTTGATTCGTCCCGCGTCACAAACGTTCCTCGTGAAACGCGGTACAAAATATCGTTCTGAACTGCAGATTTATCGACGCATTTTCTCCTTGTTCTTTTCTCTCTCTGCGGTAACATGTCCCTAACGCTATTGAAATTAATTATGCGGGAGGTTGTAAAATTAGGAGTTATTCTCTTGATTTTGCATATCTCCCGCGTGCTACCGTCCGGAGTACAAACTACGTGCGCGTAAAATTTCGAGCCACCGGATACAAACGACTTGATGTAACTACCACGTCCGTAGCTTTTGAGCTCGTCTGTCATATAGCCCAGAAAATTTCTCGTACGCGGTTTGTATTCGCCGGGTTTACCGTTGCTTACATAAATACACGAATCTGTATTGTAATAAAGAACGCGCTTGCCTAAACGTTCTAAATATTCGTACAGTTTCAATTGCGCTTGTGCCGTGTACGCCGCTAGTATCACGTTGGTAATCGGAGATAGTACAATCGCCTCATCCCGCATTCGCCACGAAAAATATATTACCTCGTCATTCACAAGTAATATATTGGTTACCTCGTGCTCGAAAATAGCAATAAAAGACGTTCCTGCGACTTTACCACTTTGGTACTCGTCAGGTTCGTTCGTTTCTCGGATTTTTCCCGAAACAAATTGAGGCACAGCTTTGTGGCCGAGCGTAAGCCTGGATTTTGCACGATGTTTTCTCTATCTAGAGCAATACTCTCTGCTTTGTATTCTCAAAGATATCATTCTTTAGATTGTTTATCCACGCATTTGCTCAGCCATTCGCTCGTTTCTTGTTTCAATTTGAAGAAACAGTTGATGTATGCGGCAAATAATCCCTCCTGACGCGTATCAGCGTCGTATTGGCTTGTCTCGTATTGCCATATCTCGCTCACTGCAATCAATGTAAGTTCACAAAGTGGTCCTGGACCAGACTGAGAGCCGAGGCACTCCAGCCGGTCACCCGCACCTAATCCCTCAAGGGCTACAAGGCGACTAGACCACACCTACCGTCCTGCTTTCCCCACCACCAAGAAAAGGGCAATGGAAAATCCCAGGGTGTCCGCCAGTGCGGGACGCACGGATACGCAGTTTAGCTACGGTCCCTGCTTGCGGAGAGTCAGACTCTCGTGGAGCAGAGATCCGTACCCACGGAGAACCACGGAGCGGCCTGCGCACTTGCCCTCAGGCAACACCACTGACCTAAGTTGAGCTGTTTGACCCTAGTGATTCCCCTAACTCCCAATAGAGTTTTGCCGCTTCTAGATTCTTGCTTGCCTTGCAGGATTGGGCTTCTAAAGATCGAAGTCTCTCTGTTCTGAATTATCAGACTCAAGGAATGCTTTGCATGTCCTGAGCGGGCTGCAAGATCAAAAAGTAATATGGCTCACTGCAATCACGATAACCCTTCTCCACAGCTTTGCGTAATTTGCACAATACCCACACGCCTTCAAATTTACGATCGCGCGAATTATCGTGGGAGCACTGGGTCTGCAAAAAGTTTTCGCAGCAACTGCGGCACAAGGCAAACAGCAGTTTGCCCTGCACGCAGTACAAGAGTACAGAGTGAACGAGATTGCGCGGAGGGAACACTCTACAACGCACAAGCCCCTCGACCGTGAAAAAATCGCCCTGATGAGCGAGGCGCACTCTTTCTCTCCGACGAGAATTTTTGGATGTCCAATCGGGAAAGCGCTGTTTTTCAACACATAAAGATATAGAAAACACACGTCTACGTAACGTATCTTCTCCGTACTCGTAACTTCGCACCGAATCGCGATGTTTTGCTGAAAAACGCGTCACGCGGTGAGAGCAATTCAGCTGCGAGCATCGGATGTTAGTCCAAAAATGCTCGCATTTCGCGATTTTTTAGCACATCGCGATGCAAAGCGCACTCCCATTTCTCCGTCATGATGTAGCCCTGTTTGCAAAAACGCTATGACGTTTTCAGCGTACGCTCGTATCGCGAGTTCATCGTTTCGTACACTTTGCGTTCCTCCGTAGAGAGACGTTTGTCGCGTTTTGTTTTAAAACTCATAGAACACTCGTGCCAAAAGCAGCCGTAGTATTGCAACACGTGACGCTCACCGTTTGCCGTCTCGTAATATCCGTCGACGAGAATGTTTCCGACTTTCGCAAAACGATGTTCTCGCTTGTGACCTGCGTGAACAACGGCGTGGCCAAGCTCGCGCTCCTTCTACACTAGCTACTGCAGAGCTTTGCGGGATTGCGTATCCGCAAGGCAATATCTGCCGCGAGGAAGGACACCTATCTTTTCGACGCGTAAAAAGTTTTTACAAAAAACTCGCATACACGTGGAAGCAATGGTCATCCCGTTCTTTGAACGGGCATACGGTTTCGCGCTCGAGAAATATCTTGCGGAAGGCCATAGACGCTCGTAGCAAGATATCAACGTCTTTACGACAATTACACACTATCTTGCGTTGAAACTCAAAAACTGCGTTTTCGCGCGTGTGTTTCGCGTGCCACGACAAAAAACGCTCGCGTTCTTTGCTAGACATACTATCCGGCAAGTAATATTCAACGGCTGGTAACGGTCCGACGTACAGACGGCGTCATTAATTCGAAGAATAGGCGCGGGGATCACATAAAAAGTCCAGTTGATCCAAATATCCATTAGTCCCAAAATTGGGTGTCCAGTTGTGGACATCCGATTACTACTAGTTAGTTAGTACGGCGCCCGTTGGCGCTACGAGCAACCGCCCCGCTTGCCCTCCGATCCCCGCGCCTATTCTTCGAATTAATGACGCCGTCTGTACGACTGATTCGCGCAAGTGTTAAATAAATGTGAAAAATATCTCTGTTTTATCCCTCCCCGCAAACCGAAAGTCTTCGGCAAAGCTGACAAACGCATCTGCATGTAGTTGATGCTATGGATAAATGTCGTACGCCCGACCCAGAGGGTCCAAAGTCGCCGTATTTTTTGGCTCCGGAAGTTCAGATCGGTGGTCGGTGCTCCAGGCGGCAGCACAATCGGTTCCCCTTTCTTCCTCTCTTTTCCCCTTGCCAACAAAGTCGCATCTGACTTGTTGCTAACCTTAACTGTCATTAAAGTGTATGAAGTGCATTAAAGTAGTGATGTACATTTTATTACATGTCGTTATTCTTTTTGATTTGTCTTTTGTGTACTTATTGTGTAGTATTCGTCTAAACTCAGTTTTTTATTATTTATTAACTATATAAATGTTGTGGTACTTACTAGTGATTGTGTGGTGTTTAGTGATTATATCACGGTTATAATTGTCGATAGTTTTTATTTATTTCTTATTATTATTAGTATTATTTAGAATATTATTTATAGTGTTTACTTACCATTAATATAAATTTAAATTAATTAATATAATACATTAGTATATTATATTGCATATTTAATATATTAGTAGTGATTATTCTTAGTAATTCTTAATATTAGTATTAATATTAGTATTATTAATATAATATCAATATTTAAAAAAATTTTTTAAGCATTTTAGGAAAATGGTCTACAAATGTTGTGTGCCCAATTGCACATCAAATAAAGACATTCTAAGACATGAATGTCCAAAGGATGTGCAACGGGCTAAAGTTTGGTTTAGAGCAATAAAAAGAACAGATATGTGATCGGTAAAATATACATATCTTTATATTTTCTTCATTACTGTGTTCTTTCTATTTCTTTCTCTTTCTCTCTTTGTCTTTTTTTCCCTCCCTCCTTTTCTCTCTCTCTCTCTCTCTTTCTCTCTATACATATATATATATACATACATATTGTGACGTGGTGTTCGCGCCGCTTCCCCCCTTGCCACAAAAGGTATCTTTTGAGGGAGTCCCGAAGTGTAAGCCGGTCTTAAGCGCCAGGATCCTCCAGGGCTTACACACCGTATTACGTTTTAGTTGCTTATTTCTTTTGTTTTGTATTTTTTTTTTATAATATGTAAAATTGGCGCCTCACTACTCGAGGGCTCACCCCGCCGAAGGACATCGAGAGAGACGAGCAGACGGGAAACCTAGCGAGGAACACGGCGCGAGCCAGAACTCAGGGGATCGACGAAGCGCCAGTGGCAGCGCGCAGAGGCTACAGTCCTGATTTAGTCGGCAGGCTCATCCCTTTACGCCAGGGAGCGCAAGCGGCACGCGAACGACAGCGTCGCCCAGCGGCCGAATCCACTTGCAACTATTAGCGGACAAATCTGCCTTTTGAGGCCAGCTACCAGCTCGGAGGAGCTTTGGAGTCGAAAGAAGACTTTCTGGAGGTTTACCCCAGCCAGCCGGACACGATATGGTCGGACAGACAAAGGAGAAACTCTGCAAAGGGGAAGCACGTTCGTAATTCGCGGGTCGAGCTCTTGTAGCCCACGCAATCGCGAGCACCGCGCTCTGATTGGCTGGCGAGGCCGACCCCACGCGATCCTAGCGCGCCCCGGCGCATCGACCCCGAACCGATCGCGATCCTCGCTCTCTTGGTCGCTAACCCTTGTACAAGTTGGACGCACGAAAGGACTCACGGAAAGTACCGTCTGGAGAATAACTGCCAGGAAAGACGTTATGTCTCAGGACGACGATATCCGGTGAGGTGCCTCGTTTCTTGCAGCCACGAATCTGCGTGCCGAGTTCTGTGTTGAGGCTAGTCGCCAAATTTTTGCGTTGTGTCGCAAGGACAAAACTTTTGCCATATTGGTTCTTTTTTGGACGGCGGCTAGAATCGGATTCACGGGGCTTCGTGGTACTACTTCGTAGGCTTAAGTGCGTTTAGATTTTGCGAGTATTTTGTTAAATACTGTGACCAACCATGGAGTCGCTCGAGAGGCGCCAAGTAGCAAGTCTTAGTTTGTAAGACATTTTGTTGTAGCTTCTGTAAGACGATTTTTCTTTGCGTTTGTTATTGTTGCATGTATTGTTTTGCGCTGCTACATCGCGTGATTGTATCGATTCTGCAGTACCGAGATTTGTACGGCTGTCGTATCGGTTTTGCGGCGCGAAATCCGCGTTGCTGTCGTATCGACTTTGCATTTGCGAGACCCTTAAAGCTGTCGTATTAATCGCCGATTTTGCCTAGAATCGCGCTGTCCGGCGGAACGTTAACGGGGAGCGCCGTGCGTTTCCTCGACCCCGCTCGCTCCCTGCTTAAGTTGCTTCCTGCGAAAATAAACCAACAAAAGCTTTGTCGCCGTGGGTAAGCCGTACATTTACGCTATTTCACCGCCAGCACTGTAAAGAGCCACCCCTAGCGATTCGGGCAAAGAAACGCTGTTTTACCGCTGTCGATTCATTAACCGTTCGACTCTGTTTAATATTTCGCCTCGGCCGCGCGACGTGGCGGCGTATTCTGCTAGTTTTGCGTGTTTGCGTTCTGTTCATATTAATCGCTGTGTAATATTCTCTGCTAGTGCTTTTCCGTACGTTTGTTTAAGCTCTCATCTATTTTTATATTTCCTTTTCTCTATTTACCACTCTTTTATATTATCTTTTTTTTCTTTATTCACACTGCGTTGATCTCATAGTTCTTTTTCTTTATTTACCATTCTGTAATATCACATTAATAAATTTGTTAATCAAAATACTCTAGCGCTTGCTTACGCCTTTCTACCTCTTTTGCGCACTTCTTTAACATCCTTGGAGGGACAGCCTGTTATCTAAAAACAATAGACCCAACCCCTCTCCGTTCCAATCGAGCTAGTCGGCCCGTTGTGTCGAGCGACGCAAAAATTGACGCGGTCACGCGTTTGGCGCCCAAAATTCCATCAAAGGATCCGTCGGCTCGGCTCAGTGGTATGCTCGTTTGACCACCCTTTTCTTTCCTGCAGATACAGACGTTCTCGATCTCGCGGACTTCCGTCCGTGTCCCGATTTCGCACTTCTGTTTCGGGCGTGAAAACGCGAGAAATCAGTAAGAACACCGAAAAACGTCACAATATATATATATATTGTGACGGGCACCTCGTTTTTGGATGTTGTAGCGGAGGCGCCGCACAACTTCGGCACGTCGTTTCTAAAAAAAAAAACTAAAATTCTTGACTCATCAAAGTCAATAGTTGGGCGCCAGGCGTGCGTTTACACGCCAACTCAAAAATTTTAATTAACAGCAAGAATCCATGTAAATATTTTTGACGTGACGGCGAGGTCACTCGGCAGCTCAGTTAATAACGATAACGGAGAGGCGTGGGTTCAGGAGGCAATGTTTGTTAAATAAGGGCAGAGAAACTTGGTTATTTAATGATAAGAAAAAAAATATAAATTCAAGTACAATATTTCCTTAGAACGGCCGGATATCGGCAGCACAAACAAAAACAAGAAACAAAGAAAACAATACGTACGGTAAAAGAAGCGCGGTAAAAATATTACATATGTCAGTTATTAATTCT